ACATGAAATGAACAAATCTTAGAGAGGTCTACCCAAGGTACATATACACCAAGTATCAAAGCATTCAGGCTTGTAGTTTTCAAGAAGAAGTCGAAAAAGTAAAACATTGACACGGACGACGGACGACGACGACGACGGACAATCACTCATATGATAAGCTCCGCTCGACATAGTCGTCAGCGGAGCTAAAAAAGAAGAGAAAGTGTGCATCTTCCGCACATCCTGTTACAAAGCAACAAAAGATCACTGACATTGTAACAAAAAGGACTATAAGGCAGGTGACTGCTACATGTACTAAAGTGGCTGATGACAGTGGAATGGTTGGTGCGAGTGAGGTGGGTGGTGAGAGTGGAATGGTTGGTGAATGTGGGTTGGGTGGTGAGAATGAGATAGTAGGTGTGAGGGAGGTGGGTGGTGAGAGTCGGATTGTAAGTCAGAACGAGATTGCTCTGTAAGAGTGTGATGTAAAACATTTGCTGACAAAAAAATTGTTCTCATTTATTTTAATATTTATTTTATTACATTTTATTTATTTTTGACTCCCGTGTGCGAAGCACACAATGGGAGTCTTTGCAGTTACCCTGTCTGTATGTGTGATCTGATATCTCAAGATTGTATTTGTATTTTCTGTATGTATTATACATTGTGATAATGTGAATCACATGTTTTCATGTTGTGCATCTCAAATAGCAGACATAAATTAGTTGCCAAGCTTCTTGTTTGAAAAGCAAATCTTAAATTTTGATTAATTTTAATGTGTCTCCAATACTCTCAGCACTCAATTCTTTCTCAGCTTCCTTTGATATTTATTTTATTTTTTACTTGTTTAATAAGACATGGTTCCATACAATCATGAATGTATCTTGTCTATTATTGTGATCACATAACATAGCGTGGAATGCTTTATTTGCACTGGCATTTTCCCTGTTTTGCCTGTAGTCAATTTTCTGAAAAATAAATTCCAGTGAAAATGCAGCTTTCTCTATACGTTGCATTGAGTCTTAATACTAACAACATAGTGAAAATTAGATCCACAAAATTCCAGAAAACTGTTTTCAGCAAAAATAAATTCCAGAGAAAATAAAGTATTTTACTGTAGTCAGCAATATTGCAAACAACTTTTCTAACAATGTTTCTGTTTTAGTCTGTAAATGTATTTAAACTAAAACAGCTAAATTGTTAGAGATATTGGATGCAATACCGTATTTGCTCTATTAGTAGCGCATGCTCTTATGTAAATAACAGTGTTTCTATGGTCAAAATACATCATATTTTAATAAATCAGTATACAATCAATGCAATTGTTGCCGTACATGTGCTTCTATTTGAGATGCTCTTCTAATAGAGCATATATGGTATACAATCTAAATGCAACCAGAGTGAAATTGTTTTTGAAATTAATATTGAAATGCAGATATTAATTTTCCCTCTGCTATTAATTAATCCACAAACCAGAATTATTGACATCCATTTATATATGACCTAGTTTCTTCTTGTACTATGTGTCCTCTTATCTTGGCAGGAAGAATTGCCATATTTTTCCCTAAGTCATATAGTGACAAATATATTTTTTTTACACTGGTAAAGCAGCAATTTTTTTTTGAAGAACCCTTCACTTTGCAATTTTTTTTTTTCGTTTCTGACCTCCCCTCCCCTCAAAAATCAAATGGTCCAACCCTTAGGAGGTGAGCACCAACTTGAAGAAGGTCTCCAACAGTGGATGAGTCACGGTGTCAAAAATTCAAAGGCTTAACTAAATCTTGGTTACGGTCCACATGTGCTTGCGTTCGATTGGGCCAGGTTGACGCTGGAATAGCGCTCTGAATTGTAGTCCCAAACATTAAAATAATTTTGGGACAAAATTCATTATAAACTTAAATCTTACTTGCAATTTGTTCCTATTATTTACCAAGCTGTAAAATACATACTACTAGTAATTGTTTGAAGAAACAATAACCAAACACTGCACTACGGCATTGTGGGACTTAAAGCGGGTGGTTCGTCACCTTCGCACGCGCGGGAATTGAGTCCCAAGCGACGATAACACCACATGCTAAAAACGCAAAGGCTCATGGACAGACGCTTGTTTGTAAACAGTGACACGCTATGACCATCTGACGCATGCGCATGTGACGATTCTCCCGCTTTAAATAGCGGTGGTCGACGCGCAGCGCGTGTTTGAATTTTATGTAAATAAACAATGTATTTTACACGCGTTGTATACGTCGCTATGAGTCTCATATCCAACAGGACGTGGCACGACGACTGCCGCCCTTTAACTGGGTGTCGATTGTCACGATGTGACACTGATACCAGAGTCATGTTTGCCACAGTCGTGGCGCAACGAGGGGTCGATTTCCATGTAAACAAAAAATGTATTTTACACACGTTATGTAAGTCGCTATGACCTTTAACGATATCTTCACGAACCGAAAAACTACATTATTCGAAAATTGCTGGCACTGTCGTACTTACCACATAAACATATTGCGTCTTCTTTTGAAACCCTTGCCTCCCAAGCAACCTCGGCGTTTCTTGGTTTAATTGATTATGTTCGGTCAACATGGATTGAAAGTTTGATCTGGCCACCATCAACGTGGAGCGCATTTTCGCAATGTATACGTACAAACAATGATGTGGAGGGCTGGCATCGTCGTTTCATTTGCTTTACCAAGAACCATGTTTGACGACATTACAAGTCCGACTTGTAAGAGATAAATTTAAATCGTCCCATGTGACGGTACGTCGCATTATATCAGTCCCACTGATAATAACAAAATCGTCCCATGTTACAGTACGTCGCATTATATCAGTCCCACTGATAATAAAACAATCGTCCAATGTTACGGTACGTCGCATTATATCATTCCCACTGATAATAAATAAATCGTCCCATGTTTTGGTACGTCGCATTACATCAGTCCCATTGATAATGAATAAATCGTCCCATGTTACGGTACGTCGCATTATATCAGCCCACTGATAATAAAAAAATATCGTCCCATGTTACGGTACGTCGCCTTATATCAGTCCCACTGATAATAAAAAAAATCGTCCTATGTTACGGTACGTTGCATTATATGAGTTCCACTGATAATAAAAAAATCGTCCCATGTTACGATACGTCGCATAATATCAGTCCCACTGATAATATCGTCCCATGTTACGGTACGTCGCATTATATCAGTCCCACTGATAATAAATAAATCGTCCCATGTTACGGTACGTCGCATTATATCAGCCCACTGATAATAAAATAAATCGTCCCATGTTACGGTACGTCGCATTATATCAGTCCCACTAATAATAAAATAAATCGTCCCATGTTACGATACGTCGCATTATATCAGCCCCACTGATAATAAACAAATCGTCCCATGTTACGGTACGTCGCATTATATCAGTCCCACTGATATTAAACATATCGTCCCATGCTACGGTACGTCGCATTATATCAGTCCCACTGATAATAAAAATATCGCCCCATGTTACGGTGCGTTGCATTATATCAGTCCCACTGATAATAAAAAAAATCGCCCATGTTACGGTACATTGCATTATATGAGTTCCACTGATAATAAAAATATCGTCCCATGTTACGGTACCTCGCATTATATCAGTCCCACTGATAATAAAACAATCGTTCTATGATACGGTACGTTGCAATATATGAGTTCCACTGATAATAAAAAAAATCGTCCCATCTTACGGTACTTCGCATTATATCAGTCCCACTGATAATACAAATATCGTTCTATGTTACGGTGCGTTGCATTATATCAGTCCCACTCATAATAAAAAAATCGTCCAATGCTACGGTACGTCGCACTATATCAGTCCCACTGATAATAATAAAAATCGTCCCATGTTACGGTACCTCGCATTATATCAGTCCTACTGATAATAAAAATATCGCCCCATGTTACGGTACGTCGCATTATATCAGTCCCACTGATAATAAAAATATCGTCCAATGTTACGGTACGTCGCATTATATCAGTCCCACTGATTTTCTTATTATCAAGTCAAGCAAACGTTAAAAAATGGTTCACTACACTTGTTACTAATTAAATATTTGTGGGTGATTTGACACCTTGTCGCTGGAGTCAAGTGACCTGTTTTCTACACTCCTCATTACCATTTCAATGATTGTGTGTACTTTGACAAAGTTTAATTACCTACTCGAGATTCGCTTCGTTTGGGAGTGTACGGCCGCTGGATACTCCGCATCACTCGTGAAAATAACTTCCACACGCAACGAAAGCCACGGGAAGGGTGCGAGGTTCTGTCATATTACCTTCCGTACAATTGAATTACGACGTACACTATAGTCATAGTAAAGCATATGTTCCTAGTAAAGGCTATCACCAAATCATTAAGAGACATCAAGGCGCTCACCTCAAACCGTGCTTCTGTGTTCAATGATGATTAATATGCAGCGAAGACGACCGTTAAAAGATCTAGATACGTCTATATACAGCATATCTTGCAAGTAACAGTACGTGATAGCGCAAAATTGTACGGAATTAACACAAAATTATATATATATTTATTTTTCTCTATTTCGTAGTGTTAATGGTGTGTAAAAATGAAGAGCGCTCTCTTGTGATGCTTAAATTTCTTTCAATCTTTACCGGAGATTTATTCACGAGTGAATTTTAGAAACATGGCATTGTCTTGAACATTTCGAGTCATGTGATACGCACCATGCGAAATATAAACACACTCTCATGTATTTCCCTTGAGTGAAATCATGCAGCGTGACAATTCTCACTGTTTTCTTCTCAATGGCGGGGTTCTTACCCTTTATCTTAGCGCCACTATTGTTATACATCGGAGCAGAGTGATTTCTGTTTATTCGTGCTCACTGTTGCATGTTAAGCTAACAGGAAGTACCAGTGAGACAGTCTATTGTCTGACACGTCTGGTTATACTGAATAATTACCAAGAACCACGATTACTTACTACCATAATTATTAAAACAATCAGGTACGTATTGAAGATTACTAAGTATGACGAGATTTATTTACTAGTTACTCGTAGTTACTTGTGTATATTTTGCAGCGGTAGCGGTAAATAGGGTAGTATTTTTAAACAAAGGTGTTGTACAATTATAACTTATGTACCGCTAACGAAGTGAAATTTCTTTTGACACAGTGCAAATTGTGTCAAATCATAGCGTTTTGCATAGAAATCTGTCGTAGACTTCTTTACAAAAACAAAACTTTGCACAAACCGCGCGAATAACATGGTTCAAAGGCATATATTTGTCCACAGTCCCTGTGATTTGTCACAATAACCGTTCCACACTGTACACTGGTAACGTGGTAACGTGGCATACATGTAAGCTGCCGGTAGTAAATTTCCATTTGCTTGCATGTAAGCGATGTGTTCAACAGTCCACAATGCTCACTGGTATTGTGGAAAT